ATGCTTACTGAAAAAAAGTGTGACACTTCTTATGAGTTTCAGAACTTTTTCTCATGTTGAAAATCCAGGCAGGTTTTTAAGAAAACTGAAGTCATTTTTGCTAAAGCCAAACATTTAAATTGCCACAATTAATATTTCAATTCTAAGAGATGTAGACCTGTTTTTAAAGAACAGTGGAGAGATTCTTTTCTTTCCAGCCGCTAAAAATTTGTAATCAAGGATACAAATTTCTGGTATTCAAAATGAGGTTGGACATCCTGGTTAGGTCAACACTGCAACCCATCATGTGTACAACAACCATTAAAATAATCCATAGGTTGTCAGCATTGCTTGCTGCCCACAAAGAAGCCACCTATAGGAATCAGTCCAGGTCTGCACAAAATGACAATCCACTGTAGTTTGTCAGCCAAGCATATATTGTTAAGTCATACAAACTCAGTCTTTGCTTTCCTGGAGCTACCTACTATGGAAGATACTGTTACATTTGTAATGCTCTTTCTCTTTACCCATTCTGTTAGCCTCCATTCTCTTAACCCTAACTCTTGCTCTCCTAACCACATATGAGAAGTCATTGTAGAACTAACTGCAATCTGCAGTTCAACTCCATATAACTTCGAGCCTGCAATACAGTTCATGGAATAAATAAGTTCAAAATGCATATCTTTGAAAAAATGTTCATGAAAAATTGCATATTCTTACAAAAGGTGCTCAATGCATTATAATTAGTGGGAGAAAAAGGCAAAGATCTCAAAACTGTAGGCAATTGATGCATATATTTGGGGGAATGCACACAAAGAAGTGCACCAGCTTCTATGAGAAAAGAAACAAAATTCACAATCTGTTACAGGAAAGTCAGACCAATTTCTGAAGCATGGAATTCTGATAATTCTATTGCCCTCAAGTTTTGCTCGACTGCACATGCCTATTCTTTTCTTTACTCCAATGCATTTCCTGTTTGTTTTCCCATCTTAATTCTTTCTCTGCACTCTCATTTCTTTCCTTCCCATGGAACTCAATTTCAATATGTCACTCCTCATTTTCCTTCCTTAGCCAACATCGTAATTCTCACCAAGGTGGTAAAGCTGGGTTTATTGAGATTATGCTGCTGCCCCCTAAATGGGAAACTGAATGTCAAACAATGAGCTCGTTTTCTTTGGAAGAAAACTTATTCATTTATATTCCACAATTTTTTCCTTTCAGGGAACTCACATAATTTCCTCCTCCTCTCAGTCTTAACCTCACAACAGCATCCCTGAGAGATAGGTTGGGCTAAGAGTCTGTGACTGGCCCAAAGTCACCCAGTTAGCTCCATGGCTGAACAGGGACTAGAACCCAGAACTCCTAAGTCCCACTAGCCATTACACCACCCTGGCTCTCAGCTTGCATGGAAGGGTGGTCTACAGCTCCGGATCTCCTGTTTTGCCAGTCCATAGCTTTCTCAGCACCCCCTTTATACTTACCTTTTCACACCACTATCCTTATTACCCTTTTCTCCTCCTTCCCCACTCCAAAGGTTTTGGTATCCCAGTTTGTTATCTCTTCCGTATTCCTTCAATCATTCTTTTCAGGCTTCCTGCACCCTGGTTTTCTCTACTTCACCTGCGTATTAGCACACAAAACTTCATTTCTCCTAGCAATGAATTCATATCAGCAAAGGAATCTCCAGTTGAGGTGATCTGTGCATTTTTAGCATGGTAGCTGCCTACAGCCAGCTGGAAAAGCTGGCATAAACCCCACCTTTGTCTGAATACAGAGATAGGAAGAGTAAATGCAGCTGTAGCCATTCTCCTATCTCCACATCGGACTTAAATACAATACAGTGCATATTTGGCATTTCTCCATGTGGGCTGGAATGGGACTGCAGTTGGCCCAAGGGACCTTACGTTGTGTGGCCTGGCATAAGATAAAACATCCACTTTATTACTGCTTCTCTTTAACTGCAACAAGAATGGGATTAGCATTTTTCCACAACAAGCAGAGAACATCAAGTATTGATATATCTGGATATCAAACAACAAACATTGCAAAAAGATCTTGGCATAATTTTTGACCATTCACTAATAGCATTTCCTTCATATGCAGTAAAAAGAAACAGCATGGATTGGATCCAGGCTCTGCCTTCTGCTCAGAGATTTGGTCTCCACCTGATTTTCAGGGATTTCCTCACACTTTGCCTACACCGTAGCATATTCAGTTCTGCAGAATCCACCAACCCTCTGTGCAGCATTGTTTAGGGAGTTAGAGGGTCTGCCATGGGTAGCGGGGACAGGAAATTGTTTACCACAAACTCAACTGCATGAGACTAATCTAAGTGCAACCAAGTGTCAAGATTTATCAGGAAATAGCAAACTTTGTAGGCATTAAAATAACAAATATATGACTGTTATAGAAGAGAACCATTGCTGTATTAACCTACTCCAGCTCAGCACACCTTACAACCCACTATGCTAAATCAAGTTCTTTTTTGCTCCCTGCTTGGGCAATTAACTGTTAAGGTTCTGGCTCCAGACCTTTTGAGACCTTTAGTGCTATATAAATAGTTCCCATTAAGCCTGTATCCAACTATCAGAATGGCTTGGGTTTTAAAAAAAAGTCCCCTTGTTTTGGAAACCAGATAGGCCAAGCGGTAAAAAGAAAGCACTGGTCATGTTTCAAACTTTGGATCTGCTGCCATCCTCTCAGATGGCCTGGACAAGTCATAATTGGTCAGCATCCATTCAACAGCACGCAACTGGCTTTCTGACCACTGAAGGAGAGGCTCTGCCAAATATTCAGACTCTGAATTAAGCAATGTCATTTGCAACAGGATAGGACAACATAATTTACCATCCTCAGTACTTTAAAAGGGACAGAAAGGTATTTGACCAATATTGAGGTCATATTCAAGCGGTGTTCTGGACCTTTAAAGCCCTAAATGGCTTGAGACCCAGATATATTAAGCAACACTCCCACTTGAAGCTCCTCCATCACTTTATTTTGGAGCCCCCTTTTTAGGTACCTTCACTATTGGCAACTGTATGGCAGGCAGTCATAACAAGAGTCTTCTCAATTGTACCTCTTCTAAAGAGGTTTGCCCAGCTCAGTCACCATTCACTTTCTGTTGGGCAGTGAAAATGATTTTATTACACTTGGTAAAAAGCCTGGTTGTGGTTAAGATTGTATTGCTACTGCTGCCCTCTTATATACTGTTGCATTTTGTTTTGTTTTATTTGCATAGCTCATATTTTTTGTCTTATTGAGATGTAAGCTATCTTGATTATTCAGTAGAAAATGGGATAGCAATTACAATACTGCAATTAATAGTGTCACCAAAAGGTAAGGTCAACTTTCTTCATAAAACAACTCCAAATTTTACTACAAAGCCAACAGCATTTATGAACCTCTGCAATAATTCCCCTGCATTTAAGATGTCAAAACAAGTTTCGGCTTGCTATTTTCTACTTTAAGCAAATAAGAACTCATGTTTTCTAATTATGCAGTGTTATTGAAACAATTTTGTGCATTCTAATTGAATTTCAATTCATCTTCAGATGGGTCTCCATTAAAACAGCAGTACCTGATCAATTCGCATTTCTTTCACTTAGTTGTTGCTTTATTTGGATTCATCCCAAATCTTTTGTGTTTTTAAGTTCATGTATTCTGATTCCTTTGAATCTGAAGTGTGATGTTGTTAACAGAGACAGAAAGAAGGTGAAGGTGAAAATTTAGAGAGAGAGAATAGGTTCTGTATTTGGAGATGAACATCCAAACAAAAATAGCTTCAATACACTTGGAAGTTTTTGGTATGAAATGGGGAACAAAAAGATGGAGATGGATATAATCAGCAATGATCTGTTAAGCCAAAAGAAAGCATATACAGAGTAAAAAGAATGTGATCAAAAACTGAGTCCCAAGGGACTCTTGAAAGAGAAGGGACCCAAGACAACAGAAAGCCACTAGCAGAACATTTGGAAGAATTGTGCAACAAAAGCAAATGCAAGGATTAATTGTACTAGACCATCAAACTCTAAAGAACATACAGATCATCAACTATCAAAATGAAGTGGCATATTCAGCCAGAACAAACCTTCAAAAGATGCCACAGCTTTTATTTTTCCATTAGTCTTAGATAGCACTGGTAACTCAGGAGCAACAAAGAAAAGAAGTTACTCTAACTATACCACTGTGAGTTGGAAAAGTAAATAATAATAATAATAATAATAATAATAATAATAATAATAATAATAATATGGTCTGTGGTATTACTGGCTTTGCATAATTCATTTGGCAGGAGATGTTCATTCTAAGTCTCTACATTATAGACTTGAAGGTCCTCAAGACACTCGCTTCCTTTTGAAGCACTTTTCCCATATTGAAGCTGTCTGGGGTAGTTAACGGCTGCTTATTCCTTAATTAACTTCTACACTAATCCTTCCTCCCTTCACTCACTGAATTAAGGAAGTTGTATACAGCAGTATACCTCCTAAACTTTTGATTTAGTATGTAGAGATCTTTAACTCTCCCATTAAGTTGTTTCCTGAAATGAGACAGGCAGTAACACGAAGCTATGTCTTCAACAAACAAATATCACTTGGGTTAAAAGTAAAGGTTCACATAATCTGACAGCTAGGACCGTATGATTTTGAACAATCAGGTTCCTAACAAAGCACCTAAAGAAATAAGTGCAGTCAAGTTTTTACACTACAGTGCAGAATCTCTTGCAGCCAAAATTCCATTTTGGACAAATTCTTGGATGATACATTCCAGGGGCAAAAATCAAAGGGTGGGGACAAAATACCCCCCTACCCAAGAAGCGACTAGCATATTTTAGTTTAAAGCTCTTACTGTCAGTAACTAAGCTTTAAGGGAGGCATAGCAACCTTTTAGAATACGGAAGAGGCACATACAAACTAGAAATCCAAAAGCAATCAGCATTAGGGGAAATTGCCTAAGCCAGGAGAAGGGGACACCGTCATCTGGGGTAGCTGATACAAAGTCATAAAAGTACAGACAGAGAACAGTCAGTTTTCTTCTTCTTCACTCTTTAATGGATTCACACTTGCTTGTTATCTCATTTTTGCAGAAAAAGTATTACAGATTACAGATTGTTATTGCAGTGATTTCTATAGAAGATGACTAGCCCCATACTTGAAGCACAATATTCTACACATTTAGCCATAGGCATTATTAACCACAAAAGACAGCTTTAAATAATAAAAATATATACCCCTAAAACTGGATAAAGGTGCAGAGTCAAAAGATAACTTATTAAATATGTAAATATGTTGAATTCTGAATGGAGAATATGGAGATACGATGATAAAATTCATGACAAAAGTTAGCTAAGTTTTTTTTTTCTTCAGGAATGCTACTGAAGACATTGCAGAACTTTCAGCAAGCTTTTGCTGTTTTGGCAAGCTTAAGGAGGCAAAGCCTAAAATGTGTAAAGTACTCCGATTTGTCTGGCAAATCCATCCTTCTTGCTCAGGATCGATTAGTGAACAACTCAGACTGCCTCGCTTAAAGACTGGGCTACGATTCTTCTTTACCATGGTTTAAGCCTTCGGAGGATGGAAGGCATGTCCTTAAGATGCAAGTCCCAGCAAGAAGCCTCCAACAAACCCACCAGATACCACTATGTTCTGTTTCAGGAATTCTGTTGACTAAAAGGAAAAGAATTTATTTTAGTGTACATGAATGCATAGTGTTATAGCCAACATAATGCTAGCAGAAAAAATACAAGAGGTGTTACTGTTCCCCTAGTGGTTATGCACTCCAGAAATCGCTGCAAAAGCACTAGCTGGGCAACTAGTTCAACTACCACAAGCAACTCCTAGCATAGTGAGGTGTGAAACTGCTAAGATAGTGGTCTGCACAAGTGGAATCTGAGTATTGGATCTGACCCTTGCACAAAAACAATGAGATTTCTGGAAGCAGCAGAAGTGTCATACTAGAGAAAAGACACTGTTGGATGCAATCCAGAAAGTCTACTGCAAAAGCAGTTGGAGATTTTGCTTCTTTAGCATCCCAAAGAATGGTTTTTGAGTCACATCATTAGCAATGTTAAATTGTTCTATGAAATTTATGTCCATTGTAGGATGTTTGCTTAAAAAAGAGCAGCCTACCTGAGGCTTGAATTATAATTCATGCATTTTAATATGGTTTCCATAGAAGGTTCATGCTGAACTGTATGCACCCTGTGGTATTTCTAGCATTTCATTTTTTGTCATAAATACTTCAGATAATAAGGCTCTATACAGAAGTGTAGTTATATTAGCCTGTTACAGCAAATATAACAAAATCCTGTCGTAACTTAAAAATGTACTGTGGAATGAGCATCTGGAACTGGAATTTCAGTTGTTTTTAAAAATTCAATTTCATTCAATTTCACAGAAGTGGGTTCTGGGATATTGTACAAAAATAAGAGAATACAAAAATTAAATACACTAAAACTCCATAAAAATAAATGATAAAGACAGTCAGCTAAAAAGCATGCCAAAGCTAGAAACACAATTAAAGGCCCATATGGAAGAAAAAAAACCTTTTCACGTGACACCTAAAACTATACTGGCACAAGGCAAATGTATTTGACGAAGTGGCCCATGGCTGAGAAAAGCTTAGCACCCACATTTTAGGGTGCTGTTACCTTTTATGCTGTGTCAAAAAGGCATTTCCTAGATATAACCTTTGGCTCTTTAAAACAATTGCACATAGCATGATATTGTGATTTTAGAATTTTAGTATTTGGTTTTATTATGGATTGTGTATTTTTGCTTGTAACCTGCTCAGGGAGCCTTGTGGCTAATGGGGTGGGATAAAAATCTAATAAATTAATTAATAAAATAACTGATATATTGTCAGATTGCCCAATTAACTAAAAATAGCTAATCTAAAATGAACTCTAGGGCAAGTCAGAATGCCTTGAAACACTGCACTGGAATCAGGCAGAATCCCTAATAGAGGCTCTGTATACCAGGCTAGGTGAAGTTCTTTTCTGACCAAAGTCCAGAGTAAAGCTAAGGCCATCTAAGAGACAACTTAAAAAGTGGATGGACTGACCAAAACTTGACACTAAAAGGACCAGCTCATCCACTGATATATCATACTTTGTCAAGTGTAGAAGATGCTGGGTGCTTGAAAACCTTTACATTAAAGCTACCACAAAATTCAACTTTCAAAATAATTGCATATTTTACCTCTTCGATCAGTGTGTTGATTTCAGGTGCTGCCTTGTTGGCTCGTTTTTTGAGCTGCTTTTTTGCTTTATTTACATCTTTTTCAACTCTTTTCCAGTCAACCTGAACATAGCCACTATGACTAGCTATCTAGAAAAGACAGAAGAGAGAGATCTTATCAGGTAGAGCATAATATACTGAATGTATTTAGCAAAACCAATTCATTTAGATGGCTATTGCCATTTAAAGACAATATAAAGAACTCTAGCTGGAGTACATTAGGTGATGTAAGCCTTTTTCTGTCTAAAACATGCACCCACTGGGTGTAAACCTGAGATGGCTGAGAAGTCTCAGGAAGTGGCATCAGTGCTACTCTGCTTGTAGAGAAAAAATGCTGGAAGTCTATGGGCCAACTGTTACAGCTATTCCACTGAAAAAGTTATGTTAGTGGAGTGGGGGAAATGAGACATGTTGAGGAAAAACTGATGCCATATTCTATTCATTTATTTTTTCAACATATTCCAGGAATGAGCTGTTTCTCTCTCAGTCCTGTAGCTGGCATAGTGAATTCTGTTTGCAGTCAGTGGAAAAAGAAAAAAAGTGCCCCACAACCCCATTTCCTGCATCAGTTACACCAAACAGTGGGTCACAGGATGTTGTGGTAACTCTAAAGATGCCACCACCACACCATCAATAGGACTATTCTGTTTAAGAGTTACCTATATATGTGCAACAGTGGTTAATGCAACAGGATAGTTCACCTTTATCATTTTGCATCACACAATCCCCTAAACGTGCACACAAATAACTGGCTGGACCCAAATTTAATCATAGACAAGTCAATTGAAATCAATGGGAATTAAGTTAGTTACATTTAACTTCAGTCCCAATGATTTTCAATGGGTATATTCTAAATATGACTAAGTCAAGATCAAGCCCAAGGGCTAGTTCCTACAACATGATAACTCATGGTCTATCAGGCATGGACAACAGAGGGAAGATGTGCTGCCTGCAACATGCCCACCATTTCCACTTTTACCTAACACCACAGGTTGGTGAGCATGTTGTCCAAACCCAGACTGCAGGGTTATTTGTGGGTTGAACAGACCAGAAGTTAATCCAGCAATAACCATGGGTTAACTACATGGTTGTTCAACTCCTAAACTACCCAGTGATTTGGGTTCAGACAATGAGCTAAGCAACCCATGAAGAACTTGATTATTGGTTGCTAAGTAAAAGTAGCCATGGTGGGTATATATACAGGCAGTATATCCACTATCTCCTGCTCATTCTCAACAACCTATGGGTTGTTTAATCCAGGACTGTTGTGCTGTACCAACCAGGTCACTATGCACATCTAACTTTTTAAACTAAAATAGCAGAAACACTGTAAAGATTCCTTAAAGGGTAAAATTATCTTTAAGGGCTATTCCCTACTGCCTTTCAATTCAATATAAACACCAAAAGCCTCATTTTGGCTATTCAACACCAACCAGCTTTTGGTTATTGAATCTATATTTGGTGTACATAGCTAATGAATCTTACAACATATTTACTTATATTTTAAATATGGTCCGTGATAGTTAATTTATCAGTAATGAAATAGACATGAAAACTCTTAATATGAAAAATTGCCTTTCTATAAATATGGACAAGATGTGTAATCATGTATACACAATTAACATACTAGGATTTTCATTGACCTGTTACAAACAAGCATATCTGTCTACCTGCGGGAATGGACACCACTGATTGAAATAATTCCTCCTCCTCTTGCAGCCCCCCTGTGTTCCCCAGATCTGGTCTGGGGACCCTTCAAAGCAGATTGGGAAGGCATATGGGGAAGGGAAGGTATTAGGACCAGGAACGATCCCTGAACAAAGTTGGATGATATAATGAATTTTAAAAGTGAATTCATATTTTTAACAAAAATCTTCAAGCACAATGTTGAACCTCTAATTACAGGCAACTCATAAACCTCCTCTCATTGATTTTAACACAACAGCACCAGTAAGAGAGGACTCCAGAAGTTCTTTGATGGAGACCACATCTAAAAAATGTTTTCACAAAGCTTTTAGCTATGGACTCCATCTCCCTTCCTGTTACAGAGCAATTAATCAGTCTATATTCAAACTGTAACATTTTCTAAATAATTGAAGTAGTTAAATAAGGAAATAAGTACTTGTAGCAAAAGAAAACCGCCTCCTACTGCAGTTGCTGCAAGTTTTCCAACCTTCTGGAACAAAAATCCTGCACACCTTAAAAATGGGGTGGGGGAAGGAAAGAGAGATTAATTTGTTGTATTTAATCTGTGCATACTTCCTACACATTTAAATTCAAAGCAAGCATGCAAAGATGAAAAAGCAATGAGACTGATCCAACCATTCACTGGTATACTCCATGATGGGCCCTTGGATCAGGTTATGCCAGTGTTAAGTAGGAGGCATCAGCACTTAAGACTATTTTCTCTTACTTATGAGGTCAATTAATTTCTTGTCCAGTTTCTTCATCTTTAGTTATATTTAAATGAAAAATACAAGTTTAGCTATTAAGAAAGCAAGTTTTTCTAATCATCTCTCATGATGAACCCTGCTCCCCTTCAAAAACTTAGTAAAATCTGTGAAATTTCTTATTCAAAGATTACAAGAATTCTGGGAGAAGCCACAGCTCCGGGGTAGAGCACATTCCCAGCATCTCCTGCCTGAAACCTTGCTGCCACTCAGGGTCAACAGCAGTGGGTTAGCTGGACCAATGGACTCACTCAGACAAAGCAACTTGTCATAGTCCTGCTTCTTAAAGACTTGGCTTTTAATAATCATAGAATCATAGAATAGTAGAGTTGGAAGGGCCATGAAGGCCATCAGGCCAACCCCCTGCTATTTCAGAACACTACGTTACAACACCATCCCACTGAAATTTAAGTGTTAAATTCATTAGACATTTAACATCACGTTACATAAATTGCATCATGCTAAAATACATTCAGAAGAAGATCACAACTATAAATGCACACTACAATACAGAAGAGTGATCTGTTCTCACCAGCCTGTTACACCACCCATTACAATCTGAGTAGCTACAGAATACTTTTCTACAATAGGTCCAGAATTTCTGCCAAATACCCGGCTCCACCAATGATGACGCCTTGCATATTCTGTTAAATCCAGTACTTCATATGAGTCATCATCACTGTCATGTTCTTTAAAAGAGAAATTAAAAGTTAGTCTTCCTCTACATGTTAAGAAGAAATTGAAAATGTCACAGCTCTCAGCTATACAAAAATGACTCTTTTCTTGGTAAAGAACAATGATAAAGGCAGAAAGCAATTTAATGTGTTTTTCAGAGTACTCTGGAAAGGCAACAAACTTCTAATATTGTTAGTTACCTGGTCACTTAGTTGCCACTCAGTTTTACAAGTACTGTTTATATAAGTGTATCTAAAATGCTTCCCACAGAGCCCAAGCACAAAACACTTTCTCAGAAATTCATGGAAAAAAATTAGCATTTCAATTACACATTTAACTATGAATATATTAAACAGCATCCTTAATTTAGGAAGGACTCACTGGAAAAGATCCTAATGTTGGAAACAATTGACAGCAAAAGAAGAAGGGGACGGTAGAGGATGAGGTGGCTGGATGGAGTCACTGAAGCAGTTGGTGTGAGCTTGAGTGGACTCCGGGGGATGGTGGAGGACAGGAGGGCCTGGAGGAATGTTGTCCATGGGGTCGCAATGGTTAGGACATGACTTCCATAACTAACAACAAAATCCTTCATTTTCTGCAGTGTTTCATGAATTTCAGCAACTTGCCATCACCAGACATATCTTTAGGATTTATGCCATTTCGCAATTGTGATGTGCAAGCCTACTAAGTGCTATCATGTAGCCCTTTAAACATAAAATACACATCCCCCAAAAGTATAAAATAGGCACAGTTGCACATCTCTGTAGTTAAGAAGATGCAGAGAGTTAGCAAAAAGGTTCTTAGGACAGGCTGCATGCATGAAGGAAGGGACAAACCAAAGGACAAACCAAAGTACAGAGATACATCAGCACCTATTACAACAGATATATGCAGTGTTTACTGCAGATGTATTTTACAGTGTTTTCTGTAATATTTTAAAACGCCATTTAAAAAGAAAAAATAAATGAAAGCTGAAATTATTACAATTTTGAGATCATGCAACCTTGCCTTCTATTTGTGGGATAATTTGTCTATACTTGGTATTCAAGCTAATGAAAGAATACACCAACATAATTTGAAGCAAAGAGGACCAAACACAATGCAATCAAATGAAGTTCTACCCTTAATTGTCTGCAAAATATTTTTTAAAACATGTCACACACATATTTCCTAAGAGTTATTAGGTAGCTGACACCAGTGCCATTTTGTCTCAAAAGAAATCTTTAACCTGTAATGTTCTGGTTTTAAATGCAGGCCCTAAATAATCCAAGCGTGGATCTCCTACATGGTTCTTGGGAGCAATAGTAAATTAGCAGGAACCATACATCTACTTTCCAACTACTTTTTCCTACAGGTATGGGAATATCCCACAGGAAAAGAATGCAGTCAGAGAAATGCTACTACACAGAACTGGGATAGATCAAACTTGCAACATTTGAAATAAAAAGGAACAGATGAAACAGACAAAATTACATGCTTTTACATAATGTTACTCAATCTGAGATAACTACAGGCATTCATTAACACAAGTTAATAAACATATTTATTTCTAAACTCTCCAAAGCACTCTGAGCAGTTTACACCGATTACACATAAACCCTTCACTCAGTGAAACAAATGGGAACCCTTTTCAATGCTTTACCATTCTAACTGCAAATATGAGAGGGCACCAATCTAAAGCATGCCAAATGACAGCTCTACCACAAATAACCATCTTCAGCCTCCACACAGCACCTCAACCATGGCATTTTTAATAATAAAAATAAATAAGGGCTATTGATACACACCATCTCAAGCAGGAAATTTCAGCCAATCCCATTGTGCACTGCTTCTCAAACTCAACAGACTCACACTTTTGTGTTTCCAGGAGCACCATAAAAATAACACATTAGGAGTGTAGGGGGCAGAGGGAGAATAAGGGTGCAACCATATTTAAGTTTGGACAGACTTAAGCCCAACAACTCCTGGGTCCTTTGTGTAAACATGCATAGGGTTGTGACCTGCTTTTGGCTTCCTTACAAACCTGTAACCGTCAAACTCTTTTCCTCCTATTTCCTCCACCAAACAGAATGTAACCATGAAGCAACTTTAAACACTGAGATAAGACAGATTCATGGAGGATAAGGCTATTGATGGCCACTACTCATTTTGCCTATATCCTACCTCCTGGATCAGATGTAACATGCCTCTGAATATCAGTCTCTAAGGAACAGCAGGAAAAAGATGATAGCTTTCAGGCTCTGCTTGTATGCTTCCCAGAGGCATCAAGTGGGCCACGTAGGCAACAGGATACTGGACAAGGTCACCCTTTGGCCTGTCCCAGCAGATCTTTTCTTGTTTGTTTGTTTGTTTAATTCCATTTCTGTGCCGCCCCACAACCTGAGCCAGGCTTCAACTGAAACCTCCAGGCTGAAGAAAGCAACGGGATCCCTATAAGAGCACTGTCCATGCCAGGAAAGGGTGTCCCTTGCCTATGGAGAGTGGACATGTGGTCCTCCAGGCGTTGGTGGACTGTAGTTCCCATCATTCCCTGCTGCTGGCGATGCTGCTTACAGGGATCCAGTTCCCCTTCCAGCCTACCCTTCACAATTCCTGCTTATACACTGATCTTTGTAAGCCGCCCTGGGCGCCTCTTTAATCAAAGAGCGGTGTAAAAATGCTTTAAATAATACATAAAATCAATAAACGGAGTCCTGTCGCTCTCTCTCCAGGTCGCAAGGCGCTTGAAGAAGGGGCTCTGGACAAGCCCCGCCTACTCTAGAGTAGCACGCAACCGCGGTGGCTGCGAAGAACGGAAGGCTACGTAGGAGCGCAGGTTCAAAGCGAGCCCAGGAGGAGGGCGAGCTTGACTTGGAGGTCCAGACGACGGGCCACTTCCTCCACCTGCGCCTCTGGCGCCGTACGCCGTGCCAGCCCCGCACCGGGAGCCCCGTGGGAACTGAGCCAGGCAGCCTCGGAGGAAGCGGGGCTCTCACTGACCTGAGGCGGCGCGAGCTCTCCGAGACGCCATGTTAGCAACGGGGGAGCGGGCGGGAGGCTGCCGCTCTGCTCCGCCCACCCGCCGCTCTGTAGCGCTTCTGCCCCCCTCCATGCCGAACGCGAAGGCTCCGCGTGGCGCCTGCGCACAAGAGAGAAGCGACGCAACGCCAAGCCAAGCCAAGCCAAGCCGCTTTCTTTGACTTGCAAAGTCTCAGGCTGGCGCGCAGTGGCGTCATCGCCCCCGGACGATTATGGGTATTGCAGTTTCTGTTCCTTCCGACACCGTGGCATAGGGAGGTTATTATAGAGTCCTGCATGGAAGTGGAGTTCTGTGGGATTATCTCGCAAGACCTCACAAAGTGCCGTAAAACAACACAACTGATCTACAGACATCTGACGCATTATAAAACCGCAGTGGATTTGATCTCGGATAACGGCGGCTTCACTTAACTCCCGCGCTAGCGCGGCTACTTATTTCTCTAGCTCGCTTGGGAAAAATAAAGGCCTTTATAAACTGCACAGCCGCCACGCCTATTTAAGTGCACGCCTTTGGGTCTCTGCCCAGTCGCCTTCTTTTGCCTAATCCGGCCCCGAACTATTCCTCTGGGAATGCTGCATATTAGAGCAAAAAATGGTGCGACCCAGTAAACTGGTCGACTGTAATCGGTTTCCTAATCTGGCATCACGCTGGTGAGAAGTATGCATAATAGATTTATTGTAAAAAGCTCTATGTTAACGTTTACTATATTTGCAGGACGGTTTATAGGAAACATAAAATACAAAGTAAAACCCTCAATCACAACAAAATGACAAGGCAGCAAAAAGTGCAATAAAACAAAATGTAAGAGGGGCAATTCAATACATCAAAGACTCCTGTGGATTTTTATCACACCGCATGTGTTAATTTGCTTATAGTGCTAGAATGTGTTATCAGCGGCCAACTGTACTGTGAATGCTCCCTATTAACGTGATTGTCGCTGTCTGCATCTACTTTCCTTCTGAGCTTACTGTTTGCAGTTCTTTTCCCCACTGCCACCCCACTCTGTATTCCATATAAACAAACTTTTGTTAACACCACATTTAAGCAGACTTTAAGGTGGCCCAAGATTCTTCATAGTTTTTACTGAAATAGACTAACACAACCATCCTCTGGAAATCCCATGTTCATTTACTCAGACATATTCGGGTTTTTAATATAGTTTATTGTTTTAACCAGGTTTTTATTTTAATTTTAAAAGATTATGACTATGAGCCACCTTGAGAATTGTTTCTTGGTAGAAAAAGATGGGCTTCATATTGAATGCATAATTTTAATTGTTTTCGGTGGCACTCACTCTGAGGGGAGATGCGTTGTGGCTGTAAAATCTGTGAAAAGAAAGCCTTCCACGGGGTGTGGCACCTAATAGTAATATCCGTGTGCATACCACATGAGCCTTCAAGTTGTCCGACTGCACCCCACCGGTTCAAACGGGCTTCCAACAAACTGAGGGTGCAACCTGATCACACCCTGTAAGCCGCTGCATTTGGAGGCTTATCGGCATCCTATGCAAAGTAGGAGAAACGGCGAAGGTGATGACCTTCCAGCTTGCATTTTCTGCTAAACAGACTTTTCTGTCTTTCTAGCTCTCCAGTCTTTTCCTCTTCCTGCTTCATCAAGCAGTTCCTTCTTCGCTCTCCGAGGGTTTTTTTTTTTTTTTTTTTTTTTTTTTTTGCCAACCTGGAAGAAACCTGTGCAGTTCTTTCTATGTAGGCAATGAGAAAGCCGGGGGTGGGCGGGTTGTCTGCGCTGCAGCTGCCAGCTTGGAAATCAGCAGTCTCTGACCTTGGCTCTGGGAATCCAAACTATCCTATATCTTCCTCCCCAAGCTGGCCAGGGGTCAAAAGATTGTCCCCTGCCAAGTTTATTTGCACAGCATTCCCTCATAGAGAGAAGTCTCAGGCTGTGTCCACACTCTTCTTAGGCCAGACGGAGGGGGCATTCTTGCTTCCTCCGGCAGGCAAAACCCAGGAGGTTGAATCGCACAGGATTATCATTGGGTCAGCATCCACCAGCAGGAGAGCAAGATGGAAGAGATTTGTATTCGTCTGTTGGCAAAGCACCTGTGATCTTTAGAACGCATTTTATCAGTTCATGGCTTGCAAGGCGAGGGATTCTCTGTACCCCCTCCCCATGCCCCACCATTTCTCACCCTCTGAAATGACTTCTCAGATGCAGTGCTACTTGGAAAAAACTCCATGATGCTAGTTCTGTGCGTCTTCAAATGATGCAGAAATTAATTCTCCTGGCTATTTTCAAACCGAATTATAGCCCAATGTACTTGTGGAAGTTGGCATCTGTTGCCTGATCATGTGGCTGAACTAAAATGGGTGTGTGTGTCTGTTGAAGGCTCAACTACCAGATAGACAAGACATAACTAAGGATGAATGCATTGTATTAAAAAAAAAGTTTATTAAACAGCTCAAATTCCAACAAGAAGAAGGCTAATATAGCTAACTTTAATTAACATTTAAGTTAAATCTAATGGCATGTTCACATTTGGGAAATGATATTCATTCTTTACAATGATACAATATACTGTGAAGCTAAATCCACATTTACTAAGGATGAAACATTCTTATCCCTCATATGTATGTATGCCATGCACTCTTCCTTGGTTTACAAAATTAGCAGAACAATAAAATGAATAAAACACTAACATCCATTTTAAACCGCAGACAATAAAACCACAGAATCAATAAGGCAGCAGAAACTAGCCCAATGATAAGTCTCAATCTAATTACCATAGTTATTTATTTAGGACATTTAAAATTGACTTTTTATTTCATTGGGATGTAGCAGCATACAGACACCTTTAAGCACTCAATTACCATGTGAAAATTGAAGTACTTACTTCTTCATGGAACCATCATTTCAAAATGATGAGTCCTAGGTTTTACTCACAAGTAACATCAAAGGCTGCTGCTTGGCCATGATAGATTCTTACAAAATATTTAGGATTTCAAGGTGATTGATTGGTATTTTGAGACTAGCATGGCTTGCCTTTTTTTTGCATACCCATTGCCAAATAATTACTTATTTGTATGTCACCTTTTAATTTATGGTAGCTCCATTAATCTTTAAACAAAATCTAAATTAATCTATCAGTTAAATAATAATAATAAAATGGCAGAACAGAACAGTAAAATAATCCAGGACAATTCAAATATGTTTGCTTAGCCCATGCATTTAAAGGTGGGTTATTATAAGGGCTCTGATGATCTATTAGCAAATTGATCCTGAAAAGTGGAGTTGGGCAGTGTGTTTTGGCCTGAAAACTCCCATTATGCTGCACCCTGACCTATGCAGGCTAGAACTGCTGGAAATTGTAGTTCAAAACATCTGGAAGGCCATAAGTTGCCCACTCCTATTGTAAAGGCTGTTCTGAATTTCTAGCAAGTGAGGGCAGAAAGACACAGCTGATTGGCATTTAAGTGTAAAACCCATTCAGGGGCAAATGATTTCCATCAAGCTGTTTCCTAGGAAGCTTTGCAGCAGGGAAAATTTGTTATAAACTGCCCAGAGAGCTTCAGTTATGGGGCGGTTTAGAAATGGAATGGATGGATAGGATTTTATATCTGTAAAGTATGAACTCACCTGAAGAAGTTGCTTCCAGCATCTGCTTCTCTTCCTCCCTTCTGTATTTTTGTACTTTCTCCACTTGGTCCGGAGTCCAAGTGGACTTCCTCCAATTTTAGAAAAGAAGAATATGAAATGATACCTTCCTGGCACACAGAATCAACTTTATATTGGAACAGATTAATGTGAACAGTTGTCTACTTGGGGAAGGAATAGCCAGTTTTCCAAATTGTAGGTACATCACTATTTATGCAACGAAGAAGGTAGGTACTCACCAGCTTGGATGATGCATGGCAACTTTATTAACTTGGTTGGGTCTAGCACTGTGACAGGAACATGTGCCCCTCTCTACAGATACATCATAATCTTTGTCCGCCCAGGAAGCAGAATGCTAATGGGCAGGGCTTTTTTTTGTCATAGAACGCACTGGAACGGCTTTCCGGCACCTTTTTTTTGACGGTTTTTCCAAACGGTTGTGAATCGCCCTGTTGGGCGTAGCAGGTTGGCAGCAAAAATCATTAACATAGTGCCTGCGGGCTGTTTGTGTGTCAGCGCTGATTGTGAGGGTGCTGCTCGGCTTGGGACGCTGCTCGGCTTGGGATCGGTCGTGTGGTCGTGCGCTGAGTGCTTACTGCCGGCGGCGACCATTGTGTAAAAGTGTGACCCCAAGATGTGAGTTCTGCCACTTCTTTTTTTTTTTACAAAAAAATCACTGCTAATGGGGAGGCTTCTATATAGATTTAATTAAGTAATTGATGATAGAGTGAAGCAAGCTTGCACACAAGGACTAAAAGCACACTGTGGGCTGCCCACGGGGACCATGGACTTGTTAGTGAAGTTGATGATGATGGGCCATCACACAGAGCTCAGGATGAATTGTCAGCCAGAGTTTGCATCCGCTTCAACACACAATCACTGTTGCTAAAGTAGCAGCGAAGTACAGCTACGGTATGAACAACAGGTGGACATGGGCAAGTCAGCTTCTTACCTTAGCTGAAACTTTTGGAAATGTCTTTTTAATGTTGAATTTAAGTTCAACAGTAACAGAGTAAAGCAAAAGAGAAAGGTGGCTGGGGAGGGGAAACTGCAGAAGAAAATAATTATATCACAAAATAATTCTGTGTACAATACTCATTTATATTACCTTTAATAATAAAAGGAAGAAAAAAGCAAATATTTGATACTTTTATTTGAGGGATCCATGTAAATTGAACTAGTCCGGATATTTATTTATTTTATTTATTTATTAAAACATTTTTATGCCGCCCCATTCACCGAAGCCTCGGGGCGGCTTACAACAATAAGTTAAAAATAATTATAACATTAAATTAAACAAAATATATAAACATTAAGTTAAAAATACAAATACCAATATAAAATAAGCCGCTCTGGCCAGATAAAATCCAATAATATTAACAATTAAAATGCCGCTTAAATAAAAAGGTCTTCGCCTGGCGCCAAAAAACAAATAACGACGGCG